TAGGTCCTTCTGTATCCTATCCCTACCCTCCAGTGTATCTACGTCTCCTCCCAGTTTAGTGTCATCTGCAAACTTGCTGAGGGTGCAATCCACGCCATCCTCCAGATCATTAATGAAGATATTGAACAAAACCGGCCCCAGGACCGACCCTTGGGGCACTCAGCTTGATACCGGCTGCCAACTAGACATGGAGCCATTGATCACTACCCGTTGAGCCCGACAACCTAGCCAGCTTTCTATCCACCATATCGTCTGTTCATCCAGCCCATACTTCTTTAACTTACTGGCAAGAATACTGTGGGAGACAGTGTCAAAAGCTTTGCTAAAGTCAAGGAATAACACTCCCACTGCTTTCCCCTCATGCATAGAGCAAGTTATCTCTTCATAGAAGGCAATTAGATTAGTCAGGCAAGACTTGCCCTTGGTGAATCCGTGCTGACTGTTCCTGATCTCTTTCCTCTCCTCTAAGTGCTTCAGAATTGATTCCTTGAGGACCTGCTCCATGATTTTTCCAGGGACTGAGGTGAGGCTGTCTGTAGTTCCCCGGATCCTCCTTTTTCCCTTTAAAGATGGGCACTACATTAGCCTTTTTCCAGTCGTCTGGGACCTCCCCCGATCGCCATGAGTTTTCAAAAATAATGGCCAATGGCTCTGCAATCACATCCGCCAACTCCGTTAGCACTCGCGGATGCAGCGCATCCGGCCCCATGGACTTGTGCTTGTCCAGTTTTTCTAAATAGTCCCGAACCACTTCTTTCTCCACAGAGGGCTGGTCACCTCCTCCCCATACTGTGCTGCCCAGTGCAGTAGTCTGGGAGCTGACCTTGTTCGCGAAGACAGAGGCAAAAAAAGCATTGAGTCCATTAGCTTTTTCCACATCCTCTGTCACTAGGTTGCCTCCGTCATTCAGTAAGGGGCCCACACTTTCCTTGACTTTCTTCTTGTTGGTAACATACCTGAAGAAACCCTTCTTGTTACTCTTAACATCTCTTGCTAGCTGCAACTCCAGGTGTGATTTGGCCTTCCTGATTTCACTCCTGCATGCCTGAGCAATGTTTTTATACTCCTCCCTGGTCATTTGTCCAGTCTTCCACTTCTTGTAAGCTTCTGTTTTGTGTTTAAGATCAGCAAGGATTTCACTGTTAAGCCAAGCTGGTTGTCTGCCATATTTACTATTCTTTCTACACATCGGGATGGTTTGTCCCTGTAACCTCAATAAGGATTCTTTAAAATACAGCCAGCTCTCCTGGACTCCTTTCCCCTTCATGTTATTCTGCCAGGGGATCCTGCCCATCAGTTCCCTGAGGGAGTCAAAGTCTGCTTTTCTTAAGTCCAGGGTCCGTATTCTGCTGCTCTCCTTTCTTCCTTGTGTCAGGATGCTGAACTTGGCCATCTCATGGTCACTGCCTCCCAGGTTCCCATCCACTTTCGCTTCCTCTACTAATTCTTCCCGGTTTGTGAGCAGCAGGTCAAGAAGAGCTCTGGGGAGGTGAGCGTCCAGCCACCCATCCACCCTCCTTCTTCCCAGGGGTAACCTTCCCCCCCCCAGGTTTTAACCTCTCTGCCTGTGATTTATTTCTAATAGACCCCTGTGTCTGCTCAAATTCATCAGCCAGAGTAGCAAGTTCATCAACAATTTTCATCCTTTTTATCCTATAAACACTGTTTTACATCATCACTTCATATACTCAGGAAATGTTCCTGAGCAAGAAGATCACACATTTCTTCAGAGCTTATCTTTTCCCCTTGTCATTAGATATTTGGCTACATGTCTGTGTTCTCTCTGCGTGCTGTACTGACTCTGGCCAGATAGCCCATACATCAGGCTCCGATCGAACTGCCCAATAAATCCACAGACTCAGTTCGTAGCGAAGGCACTTGGTCAGGTTTATTGTCAATGAAGCACGGTCCTAATGTCTCGGCTCAATGGTTATAGGTACACTAACACATGTATGTCCGTTGCAATCGACTAGCTCAGTTAGTGGTAGGACATTCCACTATCCCCTAGGCCAGACAGAGAGACTCCCTCTGAGATACATCTTTATACACAGATACAAACAAGTTATGCGTTATCCCTGAAGTATCTAGGTGCCACCCTCTGATGTATTTGTGTGCCACCCATTACCTTGTACGTGTTGGTTCGATTAAAACATCTTTATCCATCATGCTGTCATCCTGACCTCATCTTTAGGATGGGTCAGTGTGTCCCTGTTATCTTTGGGGAATATGTTTGGTAGTGAGGTGTTCTGGTACCACCTTAAACCCTAAAATGTTTTTGTGTATATATTCTTTTGCCTAGCACTACTTAGGAATGTGTGTTTCTGCAATATCAGTCCTGTTTTTGCCAGATTCTGTGAGCAGGCCCTGCGTCTTGCTCACAACTTAACTTTGCTTTATATCAGCAAAGTTTTGACTACCTTAGCTCAGGCTTCAGGCCTCATACCAAGCCTCTGATACATGGGCTTATGTTTCAGGCCCTCTTCCTACTACATCCTGACCCACTTATCCATCAAATCTTTCATCTGGTTTACATATGCCACATTACTCATCCCAGCCCCCCTGCTAAGGCTTCTAAATTTTATTCTATATGTTTCGGGTATAATCTGAAACTGTTTTAAAACCATATCTTCGAATTTACTATAATCTGAAGCATCTCTAATTGGCATCTTATTGAATATAGCCAGAGCTCTCCCAGACAACTTTGCAACCAAAGTGGGCATCTTTTGGTCTTCAGAAATTTCATGGAGTACACACAGCTTCTCAAAGGTGATGAAATATTCAGCAATGTCCCCTGTTTTGCTGCATGCAGGACACAACCATTCCCATTTGTGGATTTTGAAGAGGTGAGGCTCGTTGGTGCCTGGGGGTTCTGGTTCTGCTTCTCTATCAAATTCAAATTCAATTGATGCTTCCTCTCCCCGATCGCCATGAGTTGTCAAAAATAATGGCCAATGGCTCTGCAATCACAAGAATCTCCATTTCTTTGGCTTCCAGTTCTAGAGCCCTTCAGTGTGCAGCTTCTTGCCTGGCATTGTCTGCTTCTATGGTTCTTTGGTGTTCAGCTTCTTGCGCGTTAATCTCCATTTGTTTTAATTCCATATGTCTTTTGTGTTCTTTCTCCTTCTTGTCTGCCTGCAATCTGCATAGGTCCAGCTTCTTACTAGTTTTACTTTCACTCATTTTCCTGCTTTCCTGTCCTTACTTCCCTTGCCCAAAATAAGGAAAGAGAAAATAACAAACTGGTAACCTCTTTGACTGATCTCTAGCCAAGACACTTAAATCTCATTTAAAATCACCACCAGTGTACCAAGTGCCAATCTCACTCAGAGTAACAAGCTGTGCATATGACCCTGCTCGCTGCACCACTGTGATGGGTTCCCCCTGGGATGCCATCTGGAACTGGGGTACCACTGAGCCCCCCTGTCCCACCAGCCTGGGCTCCTGTTTACACTGTACTTCTGTGACAAGCTGCTAAGCTCTCTCCAGGCTCCAGCCTACACTTTCACCAGCACACATACAGGTAGGGACACACCCAGCAGCAGATACATACAGACGCTTTGACCAGCTACTGCATTGGAAGGCGCCAGCTACTCAGGCACACCTCCCCCGCCCCGGAGTGTAAACCCAAAATTATACGGTCTTGCGCTGTACAGGGAACTATACAGCATAAACTCAGGACATTTGCTCCTTCTCTCAATGTGGAGAGGAATATACAACAGCTTTCTGCCCCGAGTTATGACTCCCACACATGGCAAAAACAAGTTTATTAACTACAAAAGATAGATTTTAAGTGATTGTAAGGGATAGCATACATATCCAAGCAGATTACCTAGCAAATAAACAGGAAACGCAAACTGAATATACTACATAGATCAGCTATCAATAGAAAATTGTCACCCAAAGAGATGATACAAGCTGGCTGCAGATTCTTAAGGGGCAAACTGTACTTGCTTACAGCTTAGAATCCCCAGGTGTTCCATTCACGGGGTAAAAATCCCTTTAGCCTGGGTTCAGCACTTCCCGCAGTTCAGTCTTTGTTCCTCAGGTGTTTTCAAGAGTCTTTTTGGGTGGGGAGTCAGTGAAGAACCAAGATGATGTCACTCCCCTGCCTTATATAGCTTTTGCATATGGCAGGAACCCTTTGTTTCAAAGCTTGGTTCCCATGCCAGTCAGTGGAAAAATACTGATATCCCAAGATGGAGTCCAGCACCAGGTGACCTGGTCACATGATCCTGTAGTATCACAGCAGCCGTTTGTAGGAGGCTGTTTGTAGCATCCTCAGGAAGGCCCCCATGTGGGAAATAAGCTTCTTTTAAGGCCTGTTGTTTTTCTAATGGCCCTTCCCCACCAATCTACTCAGAATGAAAGCATCTTGTTTAGTTAAATGTGCCAGCAGAAACTTTTCAACAAAAGACGCTCACAATGTATTGCACAGCCTCAGAGCAGCTGAACTGAATTAATCTTCCTTTGTTTGGAAGGGGAGATGGAGACTCTTTCTTAGAATTGAAGAGATCAATTTACTGTAAAGATGAAATAAAATGCAACCCCTCCATAGTGACAGCTTACAAAAAATAGTTAAAAAGGAGTTATTTGTTACATGTTTGTACAGCACTGAGTGCAGTGCCTAGGCCCTCTAGACACTACTGCAATACAAATAATTACTAATAAGGCATTACTGGAGTACAAATAATTGTAGTAATGATAATTACTCTCACTTCCCTATACTCAGGTCAGGTTTTAGGTTTGAACTAAAGCCACAAATAACTCCCCAGCTCAAGTCTGTTTAGTTGGAAACCCTGTCTTGTGAAATCTAACTGAGAGCTCTCTTTTTTCAAGGCTTCTCATGTATATTTGTGGCCTTGCTATGCCACCTGAAACATGCAAATTGAGGTGACTAAATCCTTTTGCCTCCTTAAGAACTGTAGTGCTTGGTGGCTGCAATATTTAGTACTTTCTGTTTTGCATCTCTAACTTATTTTTGCTAAATTTATCATCTACAGGAAAACAGTCTTTATAACCTTGGCTTTGATTTGGACTTGATGTCTTGGGATTCAGGCCCTTGGGATGTGACAAGCCATACTTATATAGGTAATTACATGCCAAATGTTTCAGCTATGATTATCTTAGAAGAGTGACTACTAGGGATATTGACTTCAGTGGTACTGCTTGCTGGAGTAGGCTTTTTTGTGTACTTCATTGATTTTCCTGGGATGGGACATGGCTACTGTTTTGGTCTCCCCTACAAGTCTCAGACTGATTAGTTGCTGTAGTCTTACTACGTTCACTTGTGTGGTTTACTCCAGAAATTAATGTTTGGAATACAACAGCATGTTTCTTGCATGAGCTAAACTCCTACTGTTAGAAGATTTTACAGTGTGAAAGCCTACTTACCACTCTCTCGCAGATGAAAACTTGAAGGAAGACCCTCAGTCGCCAGCTACTTCAATTTGTTCTCTCCCTTCACCATTATCAGACTCTTCAGTGCAGCATGTGCCTGTAAGTAGTAAAGTCTTGGTGCCTCACATGTGTGCAGTTATGTTGCATGAACTGACTTATGGTTCATATAGAAAATACAAATGAAAGGAGCAATCTCATCTTAAATTCTGTTCAATTTAACAGTATAAATGAAAGAGAAAATTTGTTATACCTACATCTGAAACACTGACTTTTCTTCTGACATTCTCCTGTATAAAGTGTTTTCTTTCCTTGCCACTGTGGGTGACCCAAATAAACAGGGGCATATATGTACACAGCATGGGGTATGGAAGCATGCACAAGCGTCCTATTGTTGCGCACATTCTAGGGCATCCACCTTTATCCAGTTCCTAGGGCTCAAGGGGTAACCCAGTTGATTTAGGCACCCCCACCCTTTCTCAGTTCCTAAGGCTGTGGGCGAAAGGCACATACTCTTACCCAGTTTCTAGGGCTCCGGGCCATCCTTACCCAGTTCGTAGGGCTCAAGGCATAATCTTCTGCAGGTTTGCAGGACCTTTTACCAGTGAAAGGGCCTTACACGGTAATATCCTTATCCTCTATTTATTAACAATTACCAAGCAGAATACACTCACTAAGCATACAATGCTATGCTCACCGATCCTGATCATGCAGGTGAACTTTCCCTGTTGGCCAGGCAAGGTCGGTCTCGTCTGGGTTGTGGTTGCTGCACGTCACGGTCGTGCAGAGGATTCTTAGCAGCTCTGATCTTAGGCTTTGTCTTAGAGGTGAGTTCTTCTTCCAGGTCTTTCCTTATTCTTATTCTTTTCCCAGCTGGACTCCTTCTTGGACCTGTGTTTATAGTGAAACTTGAGTCCTGCTTAGCTATACCATAACCAATCATTTTACTAAAATATTACAAATAACTCTTTGACTAATCCTAACATATTGTGAAACAATTCTTTAACCAATCATACCCCAGCACCTTAGCTGATATAAGTCTTACAAAATTAGTTATGCAAGAGACAGAAACAATCAAAGAACCAGATGGAGACCATACACATAAACAATAGAGAAGTAGGGACCATAAAGACAAAACAGTAGAAATATAGATTTTACAATCACAACTGTTGATAAGTGATTCCTTGTCAGACAGAATGCCATCAAGCAAAGTTTTCTTTAAACATCTCAAGAGATACCTTGCTTATTTGGTGATTGTGGGTACTATTGGGAGGGGTGCCTTCTTAACAGTCCGATATTACATTGTTTTGATATCATTTAGAAGAAATGTGAGGCTGTCACTTTCTGTTTCTTGGCTCATTGCTGCTGCTCTCCTAATATGACTGCAGCAAAAGGCCTCAGATCTTACACTATGCTGTGCTCATGTACAGCTGCCTGTTTTGAAATCGACAGCACTCACTATAGGCCTGCCCCTCCAACAGCTGCTGCCTCCTTTCTCCCCAGTCCGACAGATGGAAGGACAGGTGCTCTCGTTTCTAAACAGCATTTAGTACCACTTTATTTAAGTGCAACACAAAAAGGACTGAACAGCATCACCACTGAGGTCAGTGTGCAGACTTTCCGGGCCCCAAGAGTGTTGTCTGTGTCTGATAATCTGGGTCTATCCAGTAGCATCATGCTAATGTGAATAGTTACTGAAGGACATTGTTTTTTGTTTGTTTGTTTTTTAAATCATTCAAACTCATGCCCTGCGTGTCCTTGCAACAACTATAATTTATTTTAAAATTTAAAAAATCCATATAAATATCACAGCAGACTGCTTTTCCCTCTGTGTACAAACATCCTGAGTCCACATAAAACTTCCCAGCCCATAAATCACCTTCTGGGCATTTGGGAAGGAGAGAGATGAGCCTTCACATTAAAGGCAAGGTTAAATCCAGGGCCTGGCAAACTGAAGGGAGTTGAGAGACCTTTATGGAGTACTCCTGCCAACTGCTTCCTTTCACTTAATGATGGAGCTGCAGCTTGGGTGGCTCTGCTGATTGCAACTGTACCAGCATGACATGAGGAGAAGGGCAGTCTCTCAAGTAATTAGGCCTCAAATCATTTAGGGCTTTCAAGATTACAAGCAACTGTCTGAACTCCATCCAGGAACTTGCAGGCAGTTAGTGCAACACAGGGGTAATGTAGTGGATAAAGTGGTCTTTGAGGTAGCTAGGTCCTAATCCTTTAAACAAGTGTGTACCATAAGGCCAGGACGATGAGCTATGTTCTGAAGTTTTGGGCGCCTGTGGCATCTGAAGAGCATCAGTGTGAATTATTTGCTTTGCTTCCAATGAGTAAGGCTGCAAATATGCCATGGAAGTCACAAATTCTGTGACCTCTATGATTTCTGCAGTGGCTGGTGTGGCTGACCCTGGGGCCGCCCCCCAAGGCCAGCCGCACTGTCTGCTTCTGGGGCAGCCCTGGGCCAACCCCCTGCTTGGTCCTCCCGAGCTACAGTAACTGTGGTCCTGGGCCATCCCCTTCCCCCCTAGCTGTAGTAGCATCACCCCAGAGGCCCCCCTCCAGAGCAGCGGTGCCTCCGGAGCCCCCCAGAACAACAAGATTTAGTCCGAGGTATTTATAGTAGAAGTCACGGACAGGTCAGGAGCTGCAAATTTTTGTTTACTGTCTGTGACCTATCCATGACTTCTACTAAAAATACCCATGACTAAATCTTAGCCTTACCAATGAGGCATGCTGGCTGCATGCTGTGCCAGTATGTGCCTCATTTGAGAGGTTGTGTTCAGCCCCAGAGGATGTTAGGAGCATAGTGTTTTGTTTCGTCTTTTTTAAAGCAGCTATGCATTGTGATTTGGTTTCTTCGGTAATGAGAAACAGCTTTTCAGATCAACTTAGTTCAGGCCCAGCTTGAATGACTCTTTGTTTCAATTATCAGTTGAATATTATTCGTCATCTGTAGGGAGACTAAATGCTGTCTTAACAAGGAGAGGGACTCACTGATCTTTTGATCTCTAGATTCTATCATTCTGACTCCTGTGTTCTGCTCTCTCTACATGGGAGCTCTGTACTTTGGAGTACTGTATTGGGCCTGCACCCATTGAAGTCACAGGGGCCCGCAGGGAAATCTGTACTTGGGAGTACTACATATGGTCTAGTGGCCTTGGACTGGGACTCAGGAGACCTGGATTCTGTTCCTGATCACTGAGATGCTGGGTGACTTGGGCAAGTCTCTTCACCGCTCTCTATTTCATCCATCATCTGTCTTAGCCTTCAGAATCCACAGGAATATCTCATGTGTGTATATATAGAACCCCTAGTACAGGGATGGGCAAACTATCATCCGCGGGCCACATCCAGCCTGCGGGACCGTCCTGCCCAGCCCCTGAGCTCCCGGCTGGGGAGGCGAGCCCCCGGCCGTTCCCCCGCTGTCCCCCCTCCCCTGCAGCAACGCTCACCTCCCAGGCTTTCAGATAAGCCTGTCCTGCCACTCTGAGCGGCATGGTAAAGGTAAGGGGTGGGGGTGTGTGTGGTGGGATAAGGGACAGGGGGCAGTTTGATGGGGCGGAGGTTTGGGGGTTGGAGGCGGTCAGGAGACAGGGAACAGTGGGGGTTGGATAGGGGGTGGGGTCCTTGGGGGACGGAGCAGGAGGGGTTTGATATGGGGGTGGAGTCCAGGGGAGGTTGGATAGGGGGTGGGGTCCTGGGGGGCAGTTAGGGATGGAGGTACCGGGGGGCAGTCAGGGGACAGGGAGCAGGGGGGGCTGGATAGCGGTTGGGTCCTGGGGGGGTAGTTAGGGGCGGGGGGGGGGGGCAGTCAGGGAGTGGGAAGTGGGAGGGGGCAGATAGGAGGCGGGGGCCAGGCTGTTTGGGGAGGCACAGCCTTCCCTACCCGGCCCTCCATACCGTTTCGCAACCCCGATGTGGCCCTCGGGCCAAAAAGTTTGCCCACCCCTGCCCGAGCATAATGGGGCTAGATCTTGATTGGGGCCTTTGCACACTACTGGAGTACAAATAATTAATAGAGGAACAGTGGAATACTAGGTTTGTGGTCAGTAGCACAGATCTGAAAGTAGAATCCGGACAGCATTTGAATGCTTTTATAAGCACATTCTTCTGTTCTAAGAAGGATTTGTCGTTTGTTTTATATATTCTTTGTCAATAGGAAGACTTAGACTTCAGCACCAGCTCCCAGATGTTTCCTCTCTCTCTGTACAGCAAGAGATCTGGAAGTCAGAAAGATAAAAAGCTCACTTCCAGTGCTGCACATCAGTCTGGTAAGAGTGATCTGCTTACTTTGACCACACAGTTGGCACATATATCATTGCCTGTTGTATTAATTTAGATGGAATATATGAGGTAAAGGTGTTAACATAACCAAGTCACTGTCCAGTATTAAACAGTGTTAAACAAGGTTGAGGGTTCAGAGTAATTCTGGATAGTTTTCTGAAGACATCTGGTCAGTGTTCCACAACCATAAAAAAAAGCGAACAATGTTAGGAGCCGTTAGGAAAGGGATAGATAATAAGACAGAAAATATCGTAATACACTATATAAATCCCTGTTACATCCACACCTTGAATACTGCATGCAGTTCTGGTCACCCCATCTCAAAAAGGATATATGTGAATTCAAAAAAGTACAGAGGAAGGCAGCAAAAATGAATAGGAGTATGGAACAGCATCCATCTGAGGAGAGACTAAAAAGAGTGGGACTGTTCAGCTTAGAAAAGAGATGTCCGAGGGTCTATAAAATCATGAATGGTGTGGTGAAAGTGAATAAGGAAGTGCTATTTATCCCTTCACATAACACAAGAACCAGGGGATACCTGATGAAATTAATAGGCAGCAGGTTTAAAACGTAGTGAACTACTTCTTCACACAAGCATAGTCAACCTGTGGAACTAGTTGCCAGGGGATGTTGTGAAGACCAAAAATATGGGTTCAAAAAAGAATGAGAGAAGTTCATGGAGGATACATCCATTAGTGGCTATTACCCAAGATGATCAGGGACATGTTCTGGGTGTCCCTAAATCTTTGACTGCCAGATGCTGGAACTGGACGGCAGGGGATGGATCACTTAATAAATTGTGTTCTGTTTGCTCCCTCTGAAGCATCTGGCACTGTCCATTGTCAGAAGACAGGCTATTGGACTAGATGGACTATTGTTTTGTCCCAGTGTGGCCATGCTTATGTATACAGAGAGCTCAGCATGCTTAGTAGTGTGGCAAACATACCATTTAAAGTCCTTTTGACCTTTAATTAAAGATAAAGAAAAGAAGAAAAAACAATTAAAGCGTTTGAAATGTAAAAGTATTAAGTAAGGCTTTTGTTTTAATATCTCTTGCTCCTTTTTCCTTTGGCTGGAGAGAGCTTTAGAAGGAAAAAAATCCCTTGTTGGACGGTCTCTTACGCGGGATCAAAGTATAGGAACTGTCCTTTTGGGGAAAAGAGACGTTAGTTGAGATTGGCTAGAGCTGTTGTTACAGTCTGATCCTGTTTCATCTTAGGTGGTGGTTGGGATTAAGCTGGAGCTGATAGAGGAGGTGATGTCATCTGGGTCCCCCTCTCTGGCCTGGTCTGGTCAGGACATCTCTCAGGATTAGGATTAAGTCCTGGGATCCCAGGAGATGGTGAGGCTGGCAGCCATGATGATGCAGCTCGTGCAAGTAGCCGATTTTTCTCCCCAAAAGTCTCTCTTTTTAGGGACCACAAAAGGGAATTATCAGTGGAACAGTCCATCCCCTCATTGGTGGACAAACTAATTAGGCCTATTATCCAACACACCAATTTTGTTTTTTTAATTTCCAGTCCCACACTTGTTGTGTACCAAGCATGATATTAACACAGTCCTTGAGTTCATTTTATGAACTTTCACATACTCTTTACAGTTGAGCTCACAATTAGGGTAAATTTGCAGGCCCAATTATCACATGCTTTGTACGAGAAAATGTTGACTGAAAGGTGTCAGCAGTCCAGTTTTAGCAGGCAGCCCTTTTATTTCTGATAGATTAATCCATTTGTGTATAAGAGGCATCTTTTAATAAATAGATGGACAAAGAAAGACTTCAGTAACCCTCACACAGTGCTGTATAGAATTTTTATTTTTAGATCTCGTGGTTCAACTCAGATTTTTTCTTTCCCCAGCAAACAGCTCTGTGAAGACACCAAAAAGGTCTAGTCAGACAACATCCAAACCGTCAATTCAACCCAAGCCTCTCTTGCTGCCTGCAGTACCTGAAGTTCAGGCCAGCCTTGGCATTCAGGCTAAAGCCATCATTATTCGGGCTCTTCCAACGCTTTTGCCACTGACAAAGCAGCAGCCAGTTGTTAGTATCCAGCCGGCCCCTCCTAAAGGTACGTGACTAGTTGTGGTTGAGCAGGGCTTGAGATGGATTCTTTTTTTCTTTCAAGGTACACAGGAAAATGCCATATTCTGAGGCAAGTAAAGCGAGTGAAGTTTGCTTTGACATCTGAAACAGAGGACCCAGAAAGGGGGGGGAGGGTAAGAGCTTTACTGACATGCAAAGATATAAACAGGTTTCAGAGTAGCAGCTGTGTTAGTCTGTATTCGCAAAAAGAAAAGGAGTACTTGTGGCACCTTAGAGACTAACAAATTTATTTGAGCATAAGCTTTCGTGAGCTACAGCTCACTTCATTCAATCGGATGCATTCAGCCACGAAAGCTTATGCTCAAATAAATTTGTTAGTCTCTACGGTGCCACAAGTACTCCTTTTCTTTTTGCAAAGATATAAATACTCTCCAAAATGCTATCAAGACTACCACATACTGACAAAGAAGCAGGAGAGGAGTTGGGACACTCATAGTTTCCTAAGATCTATTAAAAATAAAAATCGTAGGATTATGTGAAGAGGTAGGTTTTGAGGAGAGGGTGGCTGCATGGCAAACAGGTTTAGAGAGGCAGTTTCACGCGAGGAAGCAGTACATGAGAAGGGAGGAAAGAGCATGTGGAGGGAATCAGAGTTGATGGGTCTGCCAGCTTTGCTTGTGATAACAAATGGTCTAGGCAAGGTTAACAGAGTGCTTTTGTTTATCCTTGCTCATAATAAAAGACCAAGAGGACATTCCACAGAATTGATTGAAGTGATTAAATGACACTTAAAAGAGAAAAAAGAAAATGCTGTTCTACCCACTGCATAATGACCACATGTCAAGGTTGAATCCCCACTCTGTCACTCAGAGTGCAGAAGTGGGGGCCTGCAAGGATGTTAAAAATTAATACTTGCCACTTCAGGCTTGTATTAAACTCCCAAGCTTCTCTCTGACCTTGACTTGGTAAACGCTGCCACCACCCAAATGCAAAAAACCCCCTTTGAACCTAAGAAGGAGCACTTGGGAATTTCTCCCTGTGGGATACCCTCAACCCTTTCACCCCACCCTCTGGGGAAGAGCTGAGAAAAGAAACAAAGGAAATTAGCTGTGACTATCAGCTAATCAAACAACATGCACAAACCTCTTAGGACACCAAAAATCCAATCCTGTTATTAAAAGTAAATTTTATTAAAAACAAAAAGGAAAACAATACATCTGGAATTTAGGCTTTTGGCTAGATCTTAAAAGGAACAATTACAAAAATTAAGCACCCAAAATAGCTTTCTTGGGGGTTCAGCTTAAAGGTTACAAGCAAACAAAAGCATCTGGAATTAGCACAGAGGAGATCCACAAGCCTTAAAAAATAAACAGAAATAAAGCTGATCGCATCTAGCTAAACAGTCTGATCTACTTACACATTTGGAGTTCAGATAAGTATTTCTAGCTATGACCTGATGATTTATGATCATACCTGGCTTAAAGCTGCTTACAGCATTGCTGCCCTGTCCCTCCAGCCCAAAGAACAACAGACAAAAGGGAAACTCTCTTTCCCAAATTTAAAAGTTCTAGCCTTCCCTTTTGGTTCTTTTGGTCAGGTGCCCACTCCTTTTCTTTTACCTGTGGGCTTGTTAACGCTTTACAGGTAAAGCAAACAGAGAACAGACCAAGAGGGATTTTATAGCGAACTGGCTGACTGGGTGTCCATAAAAGGGAGCTCCCCCCACTTTATTTATCACACCATGTGTAAATCATTGCCCCAGAAATCGGAGCCCAAGAATTTAGTAGCATCCAGAAAATAAGAGACATTTGTATGAATAATGAAAATATCCACAGTTAGGTTAGGGTTACAAACCTCCTTCAAAAACAGTGAGGAGTCCTTGTGGCACCTTAGAGACTAACAAATTTTTTGGGCATAAGCTTTCATGGTCTATAACCCACTTCATCAGATGCATGGAGTGAAAAAAAAGTAGGCAGTTATAAATATACAGCACATGAAAAGATGGGAGTTGCCTTATCAAGTGTTAACGAGGCCAATTCAATTAGGGTGGATGTGGCCCATTCCCAACAGTTGGCAAGAAGGGGTGAATATCAACAGAGGGATAACACACTACAAAAGACATTTTCCCTCAAGAATTCATAACGTGAAACTATTATTCATTTTAATTTTGGTGCATGTTTTGATAATGAAAGCTTCTTACTAGCAAAAGAACTGGAACTATTATTTCAGTTCAGATAGGCCACCAAAGAGGTATCAGAGGTTGCTGACTGGTCACACCCAGCCCTGTGCCAGCTTTGAACTAGGGAACTAGAGAGGAAAGGTTCCTTATCTCATTAACAGTCCCCTAAGCTCTGCATTCTTGGGTTTGGCTGCCATACTTGCTCTGTTATTTGCTGAAGTGGGCTCAGTCTTCATTGACAATCTCAGAGCTGTATTTTATCCTCTAGCAAATTCAGAACAGACATTGTGTGGAATGGCCACTGATTCTCTGAAACTGTCTCATGTAGTTGCATATTTTGACCAGCGGATGGCGAAAAATACTTGCAGTTCAGCAGCTGTTTGAACTAAAAATGCTTTGAATGCAAGTACCGGGAAATGTGAAAACTTGTTTTGTGTGTGTGTGTGTAAATGCTTTGGTAGAGATCTAAGGAAATATGTCTTCACTATTGATTGCATTTCCACTAGGAGTTAGGCTAAAGCCAGGGAGACTGGCAGAAAGTTTTTGTCAGGTGTGATTTGCCTAAATTATCAGACTGCCTGAACTACAATTTCACTTTCTAGTTGGGGTAATACAGCCCTTAATCCTTTCGAAGTACTTGTCCAATGAGATGCAATGCATTTCAGTAGTATCTGGAATAAAATGGTGAAAAGATCCCTTTCTGTAAGAGTGGAAATATGACAGTGGTGAGAAGGGGTACTACTTGGCCCTTGTGAACAAGTTTTAACATAAGATCAGCTTCCCCCTTTCCTGGCATAGGTGGTATGAATGTGGCTTGGGGAGGGCATGTGGGGAGGGAATATCATTTGGGAGGTCAGGATCCACACCCAGGGCTCCTGCCGAAATTTTCTGTTTGCTTTCTGATTGTAAACTTTGTCATAAACTCTTGAGGAAGAAAACTCTTCTGTGGAGCAGTTCCCCCCAGCTTACAGGGTGTCCTTAGTCAAAATTCCACCTAAGTGGTTTTAAGTGGGCAATTGTTGGTTGGTGTTCTCCATCTCTGGGGTGGCTGAATTTCAGTACTGCAAAGCACTAGGATCTTGAGATTAAAGGTGCTAAAGAAATCAGGAAGCAACCGGAAGAACTGACTAGTTAGATCAGATTTGCTAACTTATGGTAAGCAGCCTGTGTTTGTAAATTAGAGTCGTTTAGACCCTGGGCTGCTTCTTGAGTCACAAATAGGAGCTCAGGTGAAGAGAGGTTTTTCCTTCTGCATTTGGTGTAGTGAGTATGACCTTTTGATTTTGGTTACAGATCTTCTTAATCTAATTAGTATTACAGCAGTGCTTAGAGGCTAGGGCCCATTTTGCCAGGCACTGTACAAATATATAATGTGTGGACCTTTATATTGTCATTTGTTTTACCATAGTGCCTAGTCACCTTCGTCATGGCCTGGGACCCCATTGTGCTAGGTGCTGTACAAGGCACAACAGACAGACAGACAGAGTGATTACAGTGAGATTGGTCAGCATTATGGGCAGTGGTCTGAGGACACCAGTGGCTTAACTGTTGTCAAGATGTTTGTAGATATCACAGCAAAGTAGTTTTAGGGAGAGATTTGAAGGAGGATAGTGAGGTGGCTTTATGGACATTTACGGGGAGCTCCTCCCAAGCATGAGCAGCAGCTTGGTAGAAAGCACGGGGATGCTTACTTGAAAATTTAACAAGAGGGCAATGGAAGATGGGATCATGGGCCAATTGGAGGTATGAGTCAACATCTTAATAGTGAGTGACACAATAGATGTGGGGAGGGAAGAGAGGATATGACATTCTGGAGTGCATTCCAGGCCAGTGAGAAGCTGTGTCACTCTTGCCCTGCAACCTGCGGTACCTCATCATGCTTTGCTGCTGTAGCTTCCAACCTGGTGTCTGTGCATAGCTGCAGCTTTCCAGCACATTCCAGTCACACTGTAGTTTGCACCAGCCTTGATTACCACTTGCAGGGTAACTCCACTGCTGTGTTTAAACTGAATTGTGTGGGTAACTCCATTTAAAGTAGCAAACTGTTGATATTGATCCTCTTAGAGGGGAAATGGACTTAAAATACCGTATCTGAACTGTCCAGGAGAGGGCTGGACTGTGCAGAAACAAGTTTTGCAGACTAGGAGTGAAGGAGGCTGCTGTCTGTACGAGCCCTCCCCCATTAGTTGCAGGAGTTGGAAGGTGTGTAGCGAATGAGACAGCGGGTTGCAGAAAGAGAAGGGATGGTCTCAGGGTTAAGGCAGTTGAATGCAGCCCTGGAGAATTGGATTCTATTCCTGCCTCTGCCCAGAGTTTCTGTGTAATAATATCAGTCAAGTCACTTAAACCAAATTTTTCCCAGGTGGTCACTAATTTGGGCAGCCAGAAAGTGCGGCACCCACTAGTTCAGGGTCTGATTTGCAGACATGCTGAGAACTCACACTTGCAACTGAGTTCAGTAGGAGCTTTGAACATATGAAGTGCTGTATGTGCTAAGTTATCTGAAAAACCAGTCTTAGGTGTCTCAAATGGGGCACCTGAAGTTAGTGGATACTTTTTACATTAACGAATTCATGAATTTCCTTATCTGTATTTCCTTAACGCCTCAGTTCCCCATCTGTACAATGGGGATAACACTCCCTTCTCTCATAGGGGCGTATTAATATTTGTGAAGCACTTGGATACTGTAATGATCACCATAGAAAACCCCATGAGGAAATGAATAGTTCTGTCTTCAGAGCAGTGGCTGGCCGTACATTAAAACAAAATATTGAACAGCTGATCATTATTTCAGCAGTGTTCGTCCCATGCACTGAATGACATAGGGGTCCTCTTTACTACTGACC